CTTGACATCTGCATGCACGCATTGCTAGGCAATGCACTGCAGTGCATCACGCTTTGCAGTTTGTTTACCGACAACGCCTCAACAATTGCGTTACTGCAGCAGATTTCGGTGTGATTATCGTCACTCCCTCGGACACTGTGCATGGTGACGAACAGTGGCAATTGAGCATTGACAGAGCAACTCCTACCTTCGCCATCTCACATCCAAACGTACACATCAAGAGTCAAATTGGCATTTCTTAGGCGCCCTCACTAAGTGAATTTCTTGCTGCTGCCAATGGGTGCAATGCCACTAACCATGTTGGAATGGAAAACGTTGTATCTTTGGATGGCCAAATGAAGTAGTCATTGGCTGTGGAGGGAGGGCAGCGGCTACACCAAACAATCGCCATGCATGTTTGAAGTGCTTGCTGCCCTTCCTCACTGCAGCTTTGGCAGCGCAAGCAACTGCCTTCGTCTGTATCAGTCAAACGCGTCTCACAATCGCACTTTCTGCCATCCAAATACGATCGACTTAACAGTTTCGCACAGTTCTTTCCCATTTTCAGTAAAGTAGCGACAGTTAAGTTGAGTTCTCCCACCTCTTTGCCCACATTCACCCATCCCTTCTGCATGCCATCGACAAGCACAGCGATCGATGCCAAGCCGTGGTGCTCTCTCTCTCTCCAGTCTTCCAGTTGGACCTTCGATATGCCGTTGTGATTCCGCTCGAGCGTCTCTTACGACCAGTCAACGCTGCATGCCGAATGTCATATTTGAATGTCACAGTGAGACCAGTGGTGAGGCGAGGCATCGACTTACCTATAGGTTGTGTCTTGATTTCTCCCACGTATTACCACACTTTGGTCTTGTCCTTCACTGCATCCAGCCTAGCAAAGTACAGTGTGCTAGGCCGTACCTTCTCCATACCTACCGCTCCCTGTGAGAAGTTGACGGTGCGAATATTTGGAGAGTTAAATGACTCGGCGATCACCATGAGTACATCAATCCGATTGGCGTCAAGTGAGGCCAGTTTGTGCACGTAAGGAGCCACGTGACGCTAATGGAAGTACTGCGAGAGCGGCGATTCCGGTGACACTTTGTTTTTCGTCATCGTCACCTCTACATTGCAAACAATCGTAGTAATAAAAAAAGGAATGATGGAAAGGATGGCAGAAGTCATCTCCCATATCCCTCATCCTCCCACCTCACTCACCAGCCTTCCCTAAGGTCTGCAGACATGGCACGCAATCTCTCTCTCTCTCCACTCTCAATTTTTCACCTTCTAGCAAAGCATCCACACCAATGCACTGCCAGGCGACACAACTGCCTCCTTTCACCTAACGACACTCGTAACCCAAGTGCACTTGCACCACCACAATGGAGTCTTCGTGTGCCAAAATACAAACACGGCTTTCGCCACCTTTGAGGAACATACAATCCTATGGTGGTACGATTGTTGGGCTCTCCTCAACATACGTGCAAATAAGAGTTTGTGGCAGGCAGTGCGGAATCCTTTCACTTCACCTACAAACGCGTCTGCAATCACAAGCGTCAACTCACCAATCGGTGGAGTTTGCATTGCCGCATTGTAGAGCCAAACGCTGACTTCATTGTCAAACATCTCGAGACGAATGTGATACGGCTTGTCGGGCAGCAGTCCCCCGAGACTCACCTCGCCTAGTGAGAAATCAACTATTTTCACCACCAGATCGCCACCCAGATCGGCCGCTATTGTACTCACAGCGATTCGGTTGGCATGCTGTTTTGTCATGTCGAAGGCTTTCCAACTCAGTCGATAGGTCTGAGGGTCCACGAAGCTGCAATGGGGGTAATCTAGGAGCGCGATTCCTCCAAATCCATCCCCTCGTGCTCCTATTTTCGTTGTCAACATAAGTCGTTTTTAGTAAAATGCCAAGTCATTGTGGACAGATGCAGTTGTACCGCTGGTAGCGTGAAGACGAGAGGCAGCTCTAAGGCTGCAATCTGCCAGCAACTGGTAGCGTGGCAACGTACTTTCTACACCAAAATGGTCAATTTGGAAGTGGCAACGCCACTTCTCTGCAACAGCGACTGTGCACACCTCACAACTCAACAATAGGAGGGAAAGGTGAGAAGAGAAAAATGAGTGAGACAAGGCCTCATCAGGTGGTTTCGACGATTCTTCATGCCTTTGATGCTGGCGTGACACTTGTTGCTACATTGAATTTGACGGCCACTTTCTTGAACACTGTTGGTAAATACATCGAGTTGATGCAACCCCCTTCAAGTGAGGCACACACGATGACTTCACTGTTTTTAACTGCAGCAGAGTTCAATGCACCAATCCTAGTGTCAAGAAGAGCATTTCGCCTGTGTGGCATAGAGCCACCCTTGACAAATGCCTCTTCATGGGTGTTGATTAAAGTTGTGTGTTAGTTGGCACCTTACCACGATCTTCGCCTGCTGTTCCTGCGGCCAAGGTGGGGACAGCCAGCATGATGAGGCAGAAGGGAAGCGCCATCTCCAATTCACAAACAACGTGCTCTTCCAACTCAACGCCTTTTTATACGCACATCCTCCCACCAACCTACCAACCAATCAGGCACGGCCATATTGAGCTTCAAGGCCACTTCTGCAGTCATGAGATGGAGGCTATTGCGTGTCACTGCGTGGGTGTCATTTCACTATCAATGTTTTGGAGACACACTGTGAAAGCTGCGTGGTGTGAATTTGGGATGTTTAACCCCACTTTGTCTTTCATTCGCCTTCTAGCGAAATTTATTTGACCATTACGAGGAAGACCGATTTGACTGCTATTGCGACCTACTTACTGTCAACGGCTACGTCAACTTGAGGCCTCGAAATGTGCAGTCTTGGTTTCAGAGGACGACAAATTATGAAATACGTGGCTAACCTTTCACCACTACCCGTTGCGTCGATGTGGCTCTTTTTAACGTCGTGCCTCTCATGGTATGCACCGCGGTTAGTTCCATATTGCCTACTCGACAGCACCCACAATGGCATACAGCAATGATCGTCCATGTGCTAGGGTTGCACTTGATGTCGTATTTTTTGTTGCGGCGCACTGTGTCACTCCGCGATGAGCTGCAATGCATCACTATGTTGCAGGCATGACGACTACCTCTCAACTATTCGTGACAGACAATGTCCCACATTACGCGGCAGATGACAAGTCGGACCAACGCATAATAGGTCACAGCCAAGTATGGC